CTGAGTGAGGTAAGCCAGACCCAAAAAGAGGAACATGGGATGTACTCACTCATAATTGGTTTCTAGCCATAAATAAAGGACATTGAGCCTATATCACTCTTTAAAACAAATAATAAATTTCTTTTAGCCTGAAGAAAAGAAATGAAAAGGGGGATATAACAACAGATTCTGAGGAAACATAGAGACTCATTAGATCATATTTCAAAAACCTCTACTCCACAAAATTGGAATGTCTGAAAGAAACCAGATAAACAACTTAAATAGACTTATAACCCCTAAGGAAATAGAAGCAATTATTAAAATCTTCCAACAAAACAAATCTGAGGCCACATGGTTACAACATGGAATTCTACCAGAATTTTAATGAAGACCTCATACCAATACTCCTCAAATATTTCCATCCAATAGTAACAGAAGGAGCATTGCCAAACTCTTTTTATGAGGCTACAGTCACTCTGATATGCAAATCATACAAAGATTCAGTGAAGAATGAGAATTACAGGGCAGTCTTCCTCATGAACATTGATATAAAAATACTCAGTAAATACTAGCAAATTACAAGATCAACTCCAAAAAATCAGTCGCCCTCTTATACACAAAGGATATGGAAGCAGAGAGGGAAATCAGAGAAGCTTCACCATTCACGATAGCCACAAACAGCATAAAATATCTTGGGGTAAATCTAACCAAGGAAGTGAAAGATCTATTTGACAAGAACTTTAAGGCATTGAAGAAAGAAATTGAAGAGGATACCAAAAAATGGATGGACCTCCCTTGCTCTTGGATTGGGAGGATCAACATAGTAAAAATGGCAATTCTACCTAAGGCAATTTATAGATTCAATGCAATCCCCATCAAGATCCCATCAAAATTCTTCACAGATCTGGAGAAGACAATAATCAACTTTATATGGAAAAACAAAAAACCCAGGATAGCCCAAACAATCCTATACAATAAAGGATCTTCTGGAGGCATTACCATCCCTGACTTCAAACTCTATTACAGAGCTACAGTAATGAAAACAGTGTGGTACTGGCATAAAAACAGAGAAGTGGACCAATGGAATCATTTAGAAGACCCGGATTTTAACCCACAAACCTATGAACACCTCATTTTTGATAAAGGAGCTAAAAGTATACAATGGAAGAAAGAAAGCATCTTCAACAAATGGTGCTGGCACAACTGGATGTCAACCTGTAGAAGAATGAAAATAGACCCATATCTCTCTCCGTGCACAAAACTCAAATCCAAATGGATTAAAGACCTCAATATCAGCCCGAACACACTGAAAATGGTAGAAGAGAAAGTGGGAAAAGATCTTCACCAACCCACATCTGACAGAGGGCTGAACTCCAAAATATATAAAGAATTCAAGAAATTTGGCTTCAAAATACCAAATAATCTAATTAAAAATTGGCCTCTAGACATACCTGCAGCCTGATTCTATGGAGGCATTTTCTCAAATGAGATTTTTCTCTTCTCTGATGGCTCTGGCTTGTGTCAAGTTGACATAAATCTAGCCAGTACAGTGCCTTTATTTTTGACTCTTATATTATCAAATTAGGTCGTATTCTCTTTCTTTGGGTTTATTAGTCTAAAGTTTGTTAAGCTTCATTTATTTATTTATTTATTTATTTTCCCATTAAAAAATATACAGTTCCTCCACTTCTCCCATTTCCCTCCCACTCCCCCACTCCCCCTCTCCGTCTCCCTCTCTTCCTTCCTCCTCCTCCTTCCTCCTCCTTCTTCCTCCTCCTTCTTCCCCCTCCTTCTTCCCCCTCCCTCCTTTTTTTTTCTTTGTTTTTCGAGACAGGGTTTCTCTGTGGCTTTGGAGCCTGTCCTGGAACTAGCTCTGTAGACCGGGCTGGTCTCGAATTTACAGAGATCCTCCTGCCTCTGCCTCCCGAGTGCTGGGATTAAAGGCGTGCGCCACCGCCCGCCCCCCCCCCCCCTTAAGAGAGGGCAGGGAATCCTGCCCTGTGGGAAGTCCATGGCCCTCCCCCCTACATCCAGGCCTAGGAAGCTTTGCATCCAAATATACTAGGGTCCCAAAAAGCCAGTACATGCAGTAGAAACAAGTCCCAGTGCCTTTCAATGGTTTCTCAGTCAGCTCCCATTGTCAGCCACATTCAGAGAATCCTGTTTGATCACATGGTCATTCAGTCCTGGTCCAGCTGGATTTGGTGAGCTCTCATTAGAACAGGCACACTGTCTCAGTGCGTGGACCAACCCCTCGCAGTCCAGACTTTCTTGCTCATCTTCTCCCTCCTTCTGCTCTTCAACTGGACTTTGGGGTCTTAGTGCGTTGCTCTGATGAGGGTCTCTGTCTCTATCTCCATCCATTGTCAGATGAAGATTATATGCTGATATTCGAGATAATCATCAGTGTGATAGTGGGGCAAGGCCAGTTCAGGCACCCTCTACTCTGCTGCCCAAGGACCTAGCTGGGGACATCCATGTGGACACCTGGGATCCCCTCTAGAGCCAAGTCTCTTGCCAACCTTAAAATGGCTCCTTTAATGTAGATATCTTCTTCCCTGCTCCCATATCCGCCCTTCCTCCATCTCCATCCTCCCACTCCCCCAAGCTCTCTCCAGTCTTTCTCCCTCTCTCTTCCCTTCCCTGCTTCCTCCAACCCCACCCCACCTTACCCCCACCCCATGTCACATTAGAGACTTAACAGCACAGTTAAGGTTCTTAATCTTTTCAAAGAACCAATCTAAGTTTGTGTCTATCGTTGATGTATTGAAGTGAGTTTCTTGAAGGCAGAAAAAATTCTAATTGAATTTATTATCAAATAAACTTTGCAACTTTGTTGTAGAATTGAGTCTATTACTAGTGAGCTATTACTGAAAGATGTTTATAAATTACCATTATTTTGTTGTTTTGTTGTTGAAGTGGTGTTTCCTTCAATTTTTAAAAAATTGATTAATATTGGACACCTTTTATTTCTTTATTTAACTATAATTTAAGTATAATTACTTTGAGTATTTAATCTTGTTTTAAAAAGAAAGATGATGCTTAGTCCTGAAAACATATATACAGGTAGGATTTTACAAACTAAACAGGTTATATTTCAGAATACATGTATGTATAAAGCATGAAATAACAGTAAGGAAAAAAGCCAAAGCCATGAGTTCCTATTGCTTATGTTCCCATCCCCACTGGCCCCCAGTTTACCCAGGAGATCTCTTTTATTTCCTCTTCCCAGGGATCCATGAATCCTTGTCTCTACATATGTGTAACAGTTGTGTAGCTTGATCTACTTGTGGGACTCCTAGTGGTGGAATCTGGGCCTGTCCCTAACACTTGGGCTAGCTTACAGTAACTTATTCCTCATTCTGGGTTGCCTTGCCCAGCCTTAATGCTTGGGGAGGAACTCAGTCTGACCTCAATATGCCATGCTTTGTTGACACCCATGGGAGGCCTGCCTCTTTCTGAACAAAAGTATATACTCCTACATATAAGTTTCTCCATCTTATCATATTATTGTTTCTATGTTTTCAGAGCTGATCATTTGGTGTTGGATAACTAACTGAATATTGTGCTCCCCCCTGGGAAAGATTATTTCTTCCACTCTCAGGCATGTAGAGTTTTGTGTAAGGTTGAAGCCTGATGGTCTCTTCCTAGTCCAGTTCAGCATCTGTATTATCGTTTCCCTTGTTCAGTTCATGTTCATGCAGTCATATTGGTAACACTATGGGTGTTGCTTCTGGCATTATTAGGAGACACAGTTTCAGAGTAAATTTGATCCTTTGCCTTTTACGATCTTTTATCTCCATGTTGTGTATGTCTGTGAGCCATAGATGTAGGAATTGTTTGGTAGATGTGTCAGTGGTGACTGGAGTCCAGAATCCTGCCTTTCGAATAGTTGTGGTTTTATCTCATGAATTGTTGCAAAAAAAGTTTCTTTGGTGAGTGGGGGAATTGTATTTACCTATGGGTGTAATGATAAATATTTAATTAGACTATACGCTGGCTTGTTAAAGCAAGGCTTGTAGGTTTTCCATTTAAACTACAGTTGTATATTTATGCATGAACTTATGTATATTATAGGTAGTTTTAGAAATGTAGTTCATAGTATAATTGCTTATGACTCTTTCAGGCATATTTACTGTTATTACAACCAGTTTCTTCTTTTGTATTTATTCTCCCCCTCATATTTAGAATATCATCTCCCCAATCAGATCATTTGTACACTGCTATTTAACTTTCCATTGCTTCCCAACCCTATTTCCTGGTTTCGACTGTTAGTCTGGGGTGAATATTCACATCTGAAGATTTGGAGCTAGATATCTCAGAGAAGAGAGAACATGTGACATTTGGCTTTCTGGGTCTGGGTTATATAACTTAGTATAGTTTTTTTCTACTTCCATTCATTTATGTGTACAGAATTTTCTTTATCCATTTATCAGTCATAGGAGATCTTCATGCTTCTATTTCCTACCTATTGTGAATAGAACAGCAATGAGAATGGCTGAGCAAGTGTCTCTGGAGTGGGATGTTGGCTCCTTAGTGCATAGGTCAAGGAATTAGATAGTTGTTTCATATGGGAGCTTTATTTTTAGCATTTTGAAAATTCTCCACACTGATTTATGCAGTGGCTGGACATATTGGCAAAACCCTAGCCCAGATAGTTCTTTGCCTGTCCCGAAAAGAAGAACTCAGTTATCACACAAAGCCCTGCTATATTTCAAAAATAAAAGATTGAGAGAAAATCATTTAGTTAATGTGTTATTTGTCTAAGTTATTATCATATAATGTATATCAAATATTTACAATGGCTACAAGTTGATAAGTGACATGCATGACTTACTAACATGCATTTTTCAGTAGTAGCATCTATTCTGAAACAGATTGTCTGTATGTGAGAAACAGCGAGGGACTCTTTCATTTTTATTTAAACAACATTTCAGAAAAACACACTGAGAAGTAGGTAATAGTTTCACCTGACTATACTAAGATTTTATGAGAGAGACTTAGTTAATTCATCAAAATGATCAGTTTTTCCTAGATTGTGTTTTATTCTTAAAACACTTCAAAGAGTTCTTATCAGGTCTTAGGAGTATTATGTAGCACTTTGGGAAAAAGATGCACCCTAGCAGCCCTGCAGTGGATGCTAAGATGGAGAAGACCTCCACAGACACCATAGTCCTGTCCTTGGTGCTGTGGTAGACAGGGAGGAAGGTGACCCAGACACTGCAGAACACCAGCATGCTGAATGTCAGGGACTTGGCTTCATTGAAGGTGTCAGGCAGGTTCCTAGCCAGAAAAGCCACAGTGAAGCTCACCAGGGCCAGGATCCCCAAGTATGCCAGCACACAGTAGAAAGCAGTGACTGAGCCCTTGTTGCACAAAATGATGATGTGATCATGTTCAGAGTGTGCATCTGCTTCAATATAGGGAGGCGAGGTTCCCAGCCAGAGTCCAAGGAGAATAAGCTGGATCAGGACACAGATGGGGATGACAGAGTTATAGATGCCTGAGACAAAGAGCCTTCTCATTGTTTTTCCTGGTGTCATGATTCTAAAGGCCAGAATTACAGTTATAGTTTTGGTCAAAACAGTGGAAAGAGCCAGAGTGAACACCAGAGCAAATGTAATTTGTTGCAATATGCAGGAGGCTGTGTTTGGCTGGCCAATGAAGAGAAATGGGCACAGGAAGCAGAGGAGGAGGGAGATGAGCAGGATGAAGCTGAGAGTCCGATTATTGGCCTTAACTATGGGTGAGTCTTGGTGCTTGAGAAAGATTCCCAAAACTACAGCTGTGCTGACAGACAAGCATAGAGCTGTGCAGGCCAGAGCCATGCCCAGAGAGTCATCAAAGGACAGGAATGTCACTGACTTGGGCAAGCAGCTGTTTCTCTCAGGGTTTGGGTACTCTTGAATTGGGCAAGGGATACACTCCTGCTGATCTATAGGAGGAAATGAACCAACATGTCATCTTCTACAATTATTTACTCATTTCACATTCATGCCTCAAAGAATGCCTTCCACTGTTGTTGTTTGTAGCCTGGCACATTCTGCTTTACTCTAGTGCCAAGAAGGACAATAACTGTTTTAAAAGCCCATTTCTACTATCTGTCCTGTCTACCTCATGACAAGGCATGTCCTGTCAAGTTTATCACTGTTTTTCTGGGGCAATGAGAGTAAAATAGTAATCTACTTATTTAGATGAAGTAAAACTGTCAAGTGATCCTTTAAATAATTCTAAAATTAAGCCACACCAGTTTGTTCAAACTCTAGGTGCCAAGGTCAGGCCAAACCAGTCAAAGAACAGAAACCCCCTGCTGCACCCAGTAGAAACCTATTGCCAGAAGGCCAACTCGAAACTTGGACAGAGACTCCAAACTAGACCAGAGGTCACACCAGCCACCAGAAATGTAGGGTACAAAGACTAGAAAACCAAAGAGGAAATAGAAACTATAAAATAAAATACTCACCCAAGAAAAGGCAAACTCAGAAATCAGTAACTGGAGCTAATCATCCCAAACCCAGATGCCTAAATGTCCATGTAAAAATAGAATCAATGACAGCCAGGGCAATATGACACCTCCACAGCCCATCTACTTTATGACAGCAAACATGAGTATTCCAGCACAGACAAAGCACAATAAAATGAACTTGAAGCAACTTTAATGAGCATGATATATATCCTCAAAGGTAAAATGAAAAACTCCCTTAAAGAAATCAAGAAAAAGCTAACCAATGAATTAGAGAAAATCAACTAATGCATAAAAAATACCAAGAAAAGATAAGGAAAAAAAGTTGAAAAAAATCAATTCATGACATGAAAATCAAAATAGAAGCAATAAACAAAACACAAAGTGAGGGAATTCAGAAAATGGAAAATGGGTACATGAACAGGAACTACAGATGCAAGCATCACCAATGGAATACAAGAGATGGAAGAGAGAATCTCAAGCATTGAAGATACAATAGAAGAAATCGATTCATTGGTCAAAGAAAATGTCAAATCCAACAAATTCTTAAGACAAAACACCAGGAAATCTGGGACACTATAAAAAGACCAAATCTAAAAATAATAGTAATAGAAGAAGGAGAAAAATCTCAGCATAAAAACGTAGAAAATAATTCAGCAAATTATTTTCCCTAATTTGAAGAAGGATATAACTATAAAGGTACAAGAAGCTTACAGAGCACCAACCAAATATATTACATTAGAAGAGAAAGTCACTGTATCACATCATAATGAAAATGCTAAATGAACAGAACATTGGCAGAATCCCTTTGTCTGCCCTCTCATGCTTGGGGTCTGAAAAACATTTCGTCTTTGAACATACGGACCCTCTACAACTGGAGGTGGGACCGGGTGGAGAAAATAGTTAATGTTGCTTCTTAGAATGCTTTGCCAATACCCATCAATTCCCAGAGAACTCTTCTTGAAATCAGATCTGCGGTGCAGATATTGGTCTTAACCAGATAAAATAAACTACCTCGAAAGCTAAAAAAAAAAAAAAAAATGAACAGAACAAAAAAAGACTATTAAAAGCTGGAAGGGAAAAAGGCCAAGTAACATATAAATGCAGACCTATATGAATTCCACCCAACTTCTCTATGGAGCCTGGAAATATGTTTTTTTTTCTGGAAATATATTTTGCAGACTCTAAGAGATTAGAAATGTCAGCCTAGACTAATATACACAGCAAAAATTTTAATCACCATAGTTGGAGAAGAGAAGACAAGATATTCTATTACAAAGTTAAATTTAAATATCTATCCACAAATCCAGGCCTACAGAAAGTACTGGAAGGAAAACTCTAACTCAAGGGAAATTAACTACACCTATGAAAACACAGGCAATAGATACTCTTACACTAGCAAAACCCAAAGAAGGAACACACACACACACACACACACACACACACACACACAACCAATATGAACAACAATATAATTACAAGAATTAACAAATTACTGGTCATTAATGTCTCTCAATACCAATGCACTCAATTTTGCAAAGAAAAGACACAAGGTGACAGAATTTATACAAAACAGGGTACATCCTCCTGCTGCATACAAGAAACACACCTCAACATCCAAGATACACATTACCTCACAGTAAAGGATTGAAAAATATTTTTCAACCAAATGGACCTAACAAACAAGCTGGTGAAGTTGTCCTAATATCTAGCAAAATACACTTCAAAATAAGTTAATCAAAAGAAATGGAGAAGGACAGTACATACTTGTTAAAAGAAAAATCTACCAGGATGATCTCAATCTGAATATATATGTCCCAAGTGCAACAGCATCCACATTTCTGAAAGAAACGTTACTAAGGCGTAAATCACACATTGAACCCCACACATTAGTAGTGGCAGATTTCAACACCCCACTCTCACTCTGACACGTCATCGCGACAGAATCAAAACAGAGAAATAATGGAATTAATAGATTTTATGATTCAAATGGACCTAACAGAAATTTATGGAAAATTTCACCCAAACTCAAAAGATCATATCTTCTTCTAAGCACTTCATGGAATTTTCTTCAAAATAGATTCTTGGGGGCTGGAGAGATTGTTCAGAGCTTAAGAGCACGGGTTGTTCTTCCAGAAGTCCTGGGATCAATGCCCATCACCCACACAGCAGCTCATAACTGTCTGTAACTCCAGTTGCAGGGGATCCTACACCCTCAAACAGACATACATGCAAGCAAAACACTAATGCTCATAAAATAAAAAATGTATAAATTATTTAAAAATATATTCTTAGTCACAAAGAAAGTCTCCACACATACAAGAAAATGTAAATAATCCCCTGTGTCCTATTAGACCACTGTGGATTAAAGTTGGATTTCAAAAACAACAGAAACAACTGAAACTTTACAAACTAATGAAAACTGAACAAGTCTACTGAATGACCATTAGGTCAAAGAAAAAACAAGGAAGTAATTAAAGAGCTGCTAGAATTCAATGAAAATGAATACACGTCATACACAAATTTATGGGACACAAGGAAAGTGGTGCCTTGGAGGACCCAGGAGGAGAGAGTGAGAGAGCTAGAGGGAAGAGGCGTGGCCAAAGGGTTGGGGGCGGGGCTTTTTGAACCAGAAAACCAGAGGTGGCCACTACTTTAGTAGTTGCTTGTGATTCACCTTAGCCTTTTTTTCCCTTTGGTTCTAATATTTATGTGTGGGTTTTATTTTTCATAAATGGTAAAAGAAATCTTTTACATCTGATTCTCATTGTTGGACATTGTTAGACCACATGATGGCTCATGGTTCTGTCATGCCAACTGCTACCTGCAGAGGAGTGCCCGGGTGCACACTTCGTTTTTCCCCATCCTCCTTATGAGATGCTTTCCTACATTTGGGGTTTTCCAAAGCCCCCTTTGGGCTGCCAATTCAGGCAGCTCGATTCACCCTGAGAATGCTTGCCTTGAGATCTTAGAACCTTGGAACTTTGTGACTGCTGTCACCAATTCACTGGAGATGGGCAGGAAAGGCAAGGCATGTATAACCTAGCTGCGCCTCTCACTCTATTCTGCCTGACACTTAAAGGCAGCAGGGTGGAGGCTAGCCCAGCTGCTTGGCTGAGCCTCCCCAACAGGGTCACCTGGGTCCTGGCTGGAGTGAAATCCCTTCTAGAGTGCTGAGTAAGAGTGCCTCTTCTGCACTCGGATCTCTCCATGTTGTTTTAGTGCCTTGCCTGCTCCACCTGCTGGTCAAACATCATCACTACATCTAAACACTTTCATAAAATCAAGTATTGCAATCACCAGCTCCACTTGTTCCCTAAATCTGAATACCTGTTCATAACCCAATCCACTGAGGATTGGCATCAGAGCTGGTAAGATACTTGGGAACTTTTAAACGGTAAACTAGTCTATTAAACAAACAAACAAAAGGAAGAAAAAATAGGAGTAAGGACAATCTTAAAATCTTTCCCATGTTAAAAACAGGAAATATCAATTTGCAGGGAATTAGAACCTTGTTTACTGCTACTATGGGCAGGATGCAATAAAAACATAAATGAGAAAATAAACATAATAGCTGAGATTGATATACTTTTGTTCATAGTTATCGTCAGTTTGACAATTCATATTTTATTCTCAAAACATGGTTTGATAACTTTGCCAAATATGAGAAGTTGATTGATAAGATACATACCTTAGAAAAACCTACCATTCATGATATACAAGCCTTAGACAAGGTTACTACTCATAACATGCAAGACTTACAATTAATTAATAAGAAGACAATAAACTTTTAACCGATAATGTAGGTGTAGGTTGATAAAATACAAATTTTAGTAATGTTTACTGATGAAGATAATGAAGAGGTGACTGATAACATAGAAACTTTACTATTTATAAGATACAAGCCTAGGTTACTATTGACAATATTCAAGCCTTAAAAATAATTACTAAATGAAATAATAATAGTTTGACAGATAAGTTACTAGCCCTGGAAAAGCTTACTAATAGAGATAATAAAAATATTCAAACACAAACAGAGGAATTTAGAGATGAACCGATCTCACCATTACATTATGAAATTAAATAGGAGTGGCCCAAGGTTATACAAAAAACAATCTTAATTTATCCAGTCATCATACAGGAAAAACCATCAAATGATAGTTACTTATAAACAACAGAATACAAGAGATGGAAGAGAAAATCTCAAGCTCTGAAGATACAATAGATGAAATAGACTCATCAGTCAAAGAAAACATTAAATCTAAAAAAGCTTAACACAAAATACCCAGGATATATGGGATACCATGAAAAGACCAAACTTATGAATATAGGTATAGAAGAAGGAGAAATTCAACTCAAAAGCACAGAAAATATATTTAACAAAATCATAGAAGAAAACTTTTCCAACCTAAAGAAAGATATGCCTATGAAGATACAAAAAGCATATAGAATACTAAATAGACTGGATAAAA